GACAACCGCCGCCGAGCCCGCGCACGCCGTGGTCACGAGGAGACGGTGCCTCAGGATGCTGCGCGGTGCTGCGCTCCCTATCTCTGTGCGTTGGACCCCGGCCCACGCTAGAGTTTCCTTTCCGAGCTGTGTTACTGTCAGGCGGAGATGCACACTCCCCAGGACAGACGCCGACCCCCCAAATGTAGATGCAGACAAGAGCTGCACAGTTAAGGAAACCCCACTGGTAGTTTCTCGGTTCCCGGGTTAAGACGCAATTCCCTCTTGCCGGGAAAGTATGGTTTACATTTTCTTGCTCCCAGGAGTAGGGTGGCAGCAAGGAGGCCATGCTAAAAGATGACATTACTGTGGTGGTTTGGGGGCACCGCGGAGGCCGATGACTGTGCATGTGGTGGTGTAGGAACCACGGCTTTCAGCACTGATACTCGCCAGTGTAACAGACCAAGAACACCTTGGAGGTCTGCTCTGCGGTTGATCTGAACCTCCTGGGGAGGCCTGCAGTTCTCAGGCCTTAGAAAGAAACTGCGTGATGTGCGGGGTAGCATAGACGAGGAACCCAGTGTGGGGTGGTCAGAGAGGGCTCTCTGGAGGAGCCCTGGCACCGTAAGTGTAACCTGCAGGAATGCAACAAGTGCTCAGGTGCACAGGAACACTCCTTGCCTCAAGCTGGCACATATGAAGGAGAAAAAGACTTTTCCATAACTGGGACCATAGCCTCAGAAGAAAATTAAACTCAGATTAGCACCAAATATGGAGGTGGGAGGACATACTAGCCGCCAAGTGCCAAAGCCTGTGGAGAGCTTCTTTTTTTCCCTACTCCGCTCTGAAGGACTCCTAGAGAGTAGAGCCCATGTATCTTTTGCACACCATCGTATTCCTTGGGTTTGGCACATTAGAATTCCAAAGAGGAGCAGCTGTGAAGTTCATACTGGCAGTGTCTGGGACCTCCCTGGCCTGGGCTGTCCTGTGCATGCTGCCCACAGCTCTGGAGCGTTCGACCTGAGCTATCACTGAAGTTGCTGCCACTCCTGCACCACAAATGTGGACCCCCTTAATCAGAACTGAAGCCTCATTTCCTGACTTCAACCTTTGGGATTAAACTCAAAGTATTTCTAGTTTATGCCTAGAGTCGTCACTTCATAACCCCAGGGCCCCTGTGAAGCCACAACCCATCTTCTCACCCCTATCCCCGCCATACTCTTTGGCCCTTCGTTACCACATCTCCTTTGGACTCAGTAGTCTTCTGATGCAGCTCAGGGCATCAGCAAGGCTGTGGGGCATTAGAATCAGTACGTTAACACATCTTGGGATCTGTTTCTGGTGGGGCACAGTTTGGCCTGTGCCCAGGGAGGGAAAGGAGAGCCAAAACTGCCAGGATATTCCACTTCCCTCCACAGTGCCCTCTTCCCAGAAAGGGAACAAAGGTAGAGTAGAGTCAGGCCAGTGGGGCCTTCACAGCCCTCTGGAGGAGGGGCCGGCCAATAGTAAGGCCCCCATTTGGTGCTCACTGGCAGAACCCCCTGGGACACTGGCTCAGAAGGCTACTTGGATCCTCTGAAGAAAGACTTCACACACTTTTATAATCAGAAACTTTGTTTATTTTGAATAAACCACTCAACTTTGAGCAGATGACATTGCCTCAACTTTTTCTTTGAAGAAGACAAAGATACACGGTAAATTCATGAAAACACCGTGCCTTCCTTTGCAGGGCAGAAAAATCCTGACTTTTCCCAACTTCCTAATGATATTAACGAGGGACAGCCACTTGGAGCACAAAAGGAAGCTCTCCACAGGTCAAAGGCTGCAGTCGGGACACAGAACCTGCTGCAGCTCCAATTGTTGGGGCCACGGCTGGATGCAAGTGCACTATGTGGCAGCTGTGCAGTCCAAAAACGCCCAGGGATGCCCAGGGTATGACTTAAGGTACAGAGCTGCAACTCAGGTCCTGCCTGTGCCAGGGTGGTGACAGAGAAAGGACGCATTGGAGAGGTAAAGGCTTCAGATGCCAGGATCTTCCATGTGCCAATGCAGCAGTCACGCCCCACCCCTAGGTCCCCCCAGCAGGCACTCTCCTCATTCAGTTAGCTCACCACCATCCAATTCTGGGTTCATCTGCTACACTCCTAATTTATCCCTTCACTCCACCCCATTATCCCTCCCTTGCAGGGGATAAGAGGAAGAGGCAAAACCTGAGTGGGGAGAAAGGGAGCCTGCAACCAGCCATGTACTTCATGACCCCAAGGGGACAGCTGTCCTCTGTCCCCAAGAGTGATTCAGTTTACAGCTTACATGGTACCTGGGAAATTACTGACTGAGGTGAAAATGTTTGAATATCAAAGAATTTCCAACACAATATTTAATCACAGACCTCCCAAGCAACTCTTCCAGGAGGTCAAGGAGGCCCTGCTGAATACAGACAGTTCTGCCAGTCTCAGAGTGGAGGCACTGAAAAAGGCCACAGGCACCCCAGGAGATCACAGGTGTAATTTCTGAAAGGCCCTCAGCACCAACTTCAGGACAGGCAGGATACCACACAAACCACTTGTTCCTTTGTCCTAACTGTGGAAAAGCTGGCCCCTTCCCCTGTCCAGCCTCTCTAGCACAGGAACTGGGACCACAAACCAAAGACCCTCCTGGCCTCAGATTCCCAGACCCAAGAGATGATCTCCTCCAACAGCTTGAACCAGGCCAGGGGGAGCACATCCAACCCCCACAGCAGGTAACATGGAGACACACACTCCAAGTAACATGAAAACAACCTGTGCAAATAAGGCCCCTGAGCCAGGCCGACCAGAGCCCGTGGGAGGGCCATGCTGAACTCTGACCCTGACGTTCACCAGAGGAGAGTGTGGCAGGACAATGTCAGGCACAGCTACATGTGAACCTGGTCAGAGTTATACAACTGGAACACTGGCACAAAAGAAGGGACCAAGGTAAAACAAATTTATTTGGGAGAACAATTCCCTTTAAAAGTGAATCTCTAGCTTTAGGAGACAAAAGGAGACTGCTGAACTCACGTCCCCTGGTATGAAGGGCCACAAGCCCACCTACGGGCTCTGCTGTGGGCTCTGGCCTCAGTAGCCAGTCCTACGTAAACCTCACTTTCAAGAATAAACATCAGTCCACAGGCCTGCAGCGCCATCAGACTGACACACCACGGCAAGACTCTGTTCTGTACTGTCTCCTCACTGCCAAGGTTAAGGCAGCGTACCTGACCACTAAAGGGTCTACAAGGACCAGGCAGGAGGCACAATGTGATTCCCTGTGCTCCACACCTGTTACACAGGCCGACTCAGTTTCCCACCATCTGCCGCCCATACTCTTCCCTTGGGACTCTAGCTGTACCAAACACATATGAATCTGGAAAGTGAAGGCCACCCTGGGAAACCTCTTGCAGTAAGTAGACATTCTGAGGAAAGGTGAGCAGGCAGCATACGTTACGTTCTAAGTAAAATAGCTAGAGGGTAAAACACTCCAATGCCAATTTATTTTTAAAAAGGGTTCTGTGTAATTCTATGGTTTGCCCCCTTTTGTATAATTGTACAACCTTTGACAATTACATAAGTTGTAATGATCTAATACTATTAATAGTCATTCAGAAAAAACTTTCCCTCCCTCCCAACAACCATCCAGGGGGAATTGAAGGTCCTGAAAAGAGGCCAATTCAGCATGGCCTCTACCCTGGTAGAAACAAAAAGCGAAAAGATGAGAAAAAAACAGAAATTGACTAAGAGGTGTGTGGCCAGTGTCTCTCAGGAGTGGGGCCCTGGCTGTCGCCTGGGGTCGTGAAAGGCAGAGCCTGCAGCATGCAGTATGGCAGCCGGGAGACCTTCCAGCCACATCTTCCTCACTCCGGCATGTCCATGTCCCAACCTAGGTGTCATGGAAATCCTTCAGCAGGGTTCTCCTCCGCTGTTCTGCTATGTGCATCTGGTTCTCTAAGTCCTGCACCAGGGAAGTAAGACAGGTGCTTGCAGGGCCCAGTCCCGTGAGCAGGGAGCAACCACCAGGCCAGGGGCTCCAAGGAGTCAAAAGCACTGCCCTTCCCACCCTTCTCAGCAGCAGCAGCCAGTCCACATGCTGACCACCATGCTAACCATGACCACACCAGCCCTCCCTCACCTGCAACAGAGAGTCCAAGAGGACCGCAGACACTTACCCCTCTGTCATAGCTGTCCGCACGCTCCACTTTCCATGACAGGTTTTCGATCTCAGCCTCCAGCTGAGCCTGCTGGTATTCAAACTGTATGGGTAGAGCAGGAGGGTCAAAAGGAGAGGGGGCTGTAGCCGGGGCAGGGCCTGCAGATGGGAGGGGCAGACGCAGCACCTCAGGCTCGCAATGAGCTACAGACAACCCTGATACTGTCCTTAGAGAGCAGTGCTAGTTCCTGTACCCAGAGCCAGAAGCCAATCAAAAGGCTACCTGGAGCACAGCCACATGGCAAGGCCTCACTCACCCTCTGCCCCCAAAGAAAGAGGAAGAATTTTAGCCACTGAATAGAATGCTCTGAACATATAAGGAAATGGATACTGCAAAAACAGGTCAAAGTGGATATTCACAGACACTGTGTTCAATGAATACTTCATTTTTTTAGCCTTTCTGAAAAATCAAGTCTTAAAAATATTCAAAACATTTGACTTAGTAATTATACACCCATTCCAAAAAACAACTCCCAAAGAGGTTTTCCAGTGTCTTATTTATGATAGTGAAAAACAGAAACAATAAATTCCCTAAATGACGGTACGACTATATAATGGAACATTTATGTACTATTAAAAAATGGCATTTTACCAGCCTGGTAAATAATGACAGCTGCCAACACCAAACTGTTGTACCAATAAAATGTTATATATATAAAACCTTGATTATAGAAATAATATTAATTTTAAAAGGCTGGAAAATGCTAACAGTGGCCATTTCTTTCTGGTGGGATGATGGATGATGTAAATGTTTTTCTGTATTTGCCAACAATGAAACAATAAATGTGAATTATAATCAGGGGAAACAACCCACATCTAAGATGAAGAATTAAAGATGTAAAACAAGTCCACTATATTTAGGAATATGCATGCTGCTATCCTCCCAAAGCATGGGCACTGGCCTCCCAAGTGGCCACAGACATTTTCAGCCAGTCATCCTCTAAATAAAGTTGTTCATGGGCCTCGGTATATCTGCTTTCCTGTTACACAAAGTGCTGGCACCTGAGATCTACTTTGGAGATGAGATTTTATAATTGCCAGTTTTGTTTTGATTTTGCCCTCCCAATAACCAGGTCTGGTCCCCACTCTCCTACAATGGCTGGTAGAGAAGGGCACCTCTGAGGCAAAAAGGGCAGAGTAGAGGGATACATCGCCTTACCAGCTTCTTCCTGGGTCCAGATTCCATGTAGTATGCATACGGGTACGTGTACTGCAGGGTGTATCGACACTGCAACAGAGAGAAGACAAGGGACCTGTGTCTATGACGCTAACCTACGTGGATCTCAGGTGGCTGTTACAGCTCTTACCCCACCATGCAAATTAGCCTGGCTCTACAGGTATGGGCCTGAAAGAAATGAGGCCAAGGAAAATAAAAGATGAATTGGGGGACAACATGGCAAAAACTGAAACAAAAATGGTCACAGAACACCCACAGTTCCTTTTTCACACTGTGATTTATTACCAGCAGCTGCCTCAACGGCTCTTCCCTCTTGAGTCGGACATCAGAGTCCACACATCTATCTCAATACTTGTCCAAAGACAATCTCTTATTTTCCTTTGAGTGATGCATGGATGGGACAAAAGAAGAAAAGGGCTCTAGTTTTCTCTGCAGGTCTTTCTCTGCAGAGGCACTGGAGTACTCTTCTTGAAATCCCCTGGACATCCACAGAGGGCTGAGTCCTCAGTGGACACAGCCCAGGGAAACGTGGACCCGTAAGCAGAAGCATGCAGGGCTGCACAGGGTGCTAAGTCCCCCTGCCCCGTACAGTGCCTCCCACCCTCAGAGGTCTGGGCCTGACAGGGCTGGGAAGAGCAAGGTGGTACAGACCTTGGCCAAGAGCTTGGCAGCGTTCTGTAGGTACTGCCAGTCGATCCATGTCCCCAGATTATTCATGACCCTCTCCTGAATTTTCTCATGAATCCGCTGATAAGTCTGTGCCTCCAGCTGCAAGCTCTTGTTGTGGTTTTCCCACTACGGGGCAGAGAAGGGAGAAAG